TTTATCAAATAATGACAATATGATGAATACTAATCAGGATGATCGTGACTTTGCGAATTTTCCAAGGAGCGATTGTGAGAAAGAGGAGGAGGAGAAGGAGGAGCGAGACTATGAAGATGAGGACATAATAAAAAATGATTTGTTTATTAAATTGACACAGCAAATAGAAAAAAATCCTAAAGACCAACTGAATATATCTTTGACAAAATGGTTAATTGATTTGAAAACCAGTCATGCTTCCGAAGCCGAAGTTAATCTAACAGTTAAAGATGCGATGAACCTGATAGTAGATCTTTCTGCCGTAAAAGTGAGCTAGAAGTTATGTTAAGCTGAACGTTTTTTCTTTTCTAAAAATGTCTTTCTTTCTGCGTGTTTTAGGCCAAAGATTATTTATCGTTAGTCAATGAGCAGATCAATACCACATACACTCGCCAAAAATTTGTGGAGAAGCATTTTAATGTCTGCAAGCCTAAAGCAGTAGTTCTGAATGAAAAGATGACTTAGGCTAATTTGTTATGACAAAAGTTAGATATTTCTCATGTACTCGCATAGACTTTGTTTATTTTTCTCTATTCTAGCCGAAAATGGTGCTAAGCAAACTTAAAAATCAAGCCATACTAAAATGGCGAAGAGGATATTACATAGCATTTAACGACAGTTTGAAAACCATTTTAGCATTACTAGAAATGGGCGATATTTTATCACAATCTCTCCGAGACGATACCACGAGGATGATGACAACGACAGATATTAAAACGGATTACTCTACCGGGACGTTCTGCGATTCACATGGTTTATTCAAACAAAAAAGTGTACTGAAAATAATTTTGTATTATGATGATATCGGACTAACCAATGCATTACGCTCGAAACGAAAAAGTGTTGGTATGTTTTACTACACACTTCAAAATATACCACGTTATTTAAGATTACAGGATAAATGTGTCCAACTACTCGCATGTGCTGAGACCAAATTTATTAAACGGTGTGGTGTTAGTAAATTACTGAACAATTTCATGGAATCTGTTAATCAACTACAAACGAACGGAGTCGAAGTCGAACTAGAAGACGGAAAAACAACATTTTATGGTTCCCTGTTAGCCATAGTACCTGATTTGCTAGGCCTTGCTAGTTTACATGGCTTTAAATGTGGTTTTTGTCACGCCAACAAGCCGTATTTTCTATGCTATTGTACAAAAAAACAGTCAAATACGCTGTCAAGTACGGAAGAATGTAAACATCGAGAAATGAAACATTATTTAGCACAATTTTCAAAATTAAAGGATGGCGGATTGACAAAATATTGGTTAATGTTTCAAATGCCAGTTCACAATATCTGATTGCTTCTAAATACTGTTTCATATCTTTATATACGGAGCCAATCATTCTATATAGAACTCCGTTTACAAGTAAATCCGAAATGTTCGCCTGTTTAAAATGTTCAAGTATATTATGAAATATTTCTAAGGATTTTTCATATTATTTTAAATGCCTCAAAGCATCACCCAACATATAGATTGTTAAACAAATGGAACTATTGCTCGTGTCAGATTGTGGCTGTAACATGTAATTCTTTAGAGCCTTATTACAATAAAAAACTGTTGATTCATAATCAAGCTGCAAATGTTTCAGATGTCCAATTTTACGGTAAACATCAGCAATACATTCATTAGTCGTAGACATAGAATAAATTTCTAGTGATATTTCATAATTTTTCAAGGCTTCATCAAAGTTATGTCTCATCACTTGTACGTCACCGGCGAGCACATACATTCGTCCAACTTCAACATTATCCGCTAATTGTTCACTAACTACCATTTCATAATATTTTGCAGCTCTTTTTATATCTCCCATGCACAACAGTACAATGCCTAACAGTTCTACACTTGACAATTCTCTGGTAAATGATCGTTTTAAGTAGTCAAAAAACTCTTTATCTTCTTCATTTTTAATGTTAACGTTACATTCCAATACCCTTTTCGTTGTCTCGATCAACTGCTTTTATACAGAACACCGAGCCTATTGAAAAAAGTGTTTCATTTTCATCATGTATATAACTAAAATTTTTTATATTAGCAAACGGCTTTGTATTGGAAGCCAGAAGAGTATCAACATTCAATTTAAAAATAACTGATTCAACTTGTGGACGCTGAGAGCCATCATCAGCAAAAATTTGAGCAACAGACAGAGCAGATGCAGTCGATAAAAATGAACTTAATGATATAAGTCCGCCGATATTACTTAGGGCATACTAAAAGTTCGTACCGTGGTACCTTAATACCTTATGATAAGCTTTAAGTAACTTTCTTTCTATATGGTTTGATAGAGAAAAGAATGCTCTATTTTTCTATGCTATTTGATCATACTTCAACTAATATCATAGTAATAAATATTCGATAAGATCTGTTTCGTCTGCATAAGTGCTGGTTATATGAATACTGATGGGTATTTTTGAATAACTTTTGATAGAAACAAGATAGAGAGCAGCGGTTTTCACTGCTGGAAAGAGTAGATAAAGATGCATCGAACAGTATATTATAGGTTTTTATAATATGATTTCTTAAGTTTTCTTTATTCAGTTTTCTAACTGTTGCAAAAATAGTTTTTTTATGAAAAAACGAAAAAGCAAAAAAAAGTGATGGTTTTCATAGACTTCGCTAGGAAATCGTATTAGAGGCTCGACTAGAACACATTATTCATCTCAGCCTTTCGCACTTTGTAGATCTTCGATTAATGGTTTGAATTTATACTTGATAATTCAAAATTCACTGTAAATAACTTACCAGATTTGTTTGTTCTTAAAAAAGTCAATGAAAAACCTTAGAAAAAACAAATCAGGAAATCCTGGAATATACGACTCGATGTGTCTTCATCTCCTCTTTCCAACGGTGAAAACCGCAGTTCTCTATTTTGTTTCTAACAAAAGTTATTCAAAAATACTCACTCGTATTTTTTACAATTAGTATTAATACAACCAGCATATATGCAAACGAAACAGATCTTATCGAATATTTATTACTATGATATTAGTTGGAGTATGATCAAATAGCATAGAAAAATAGAGCATTCTTTTCTCTATCAAACCATATAGAAAGAAAGTTACTTAAAGCTTATCATAAGGTATTAAGGTACCACCGTACGAACTTTTGGTATGCCCTAAGTAGTTCGAATTTTTCGAAACTCTTCTGCCGTTATACTTTGGACTCGATATGGAATGAATGAATGTGCGATCGACGACTTCTGTTGGGTATGAAGTCTTTTTAATTGCTCATAAAGACCTTTTAAAAAGAATCGAAATTGAAAAAATAATATCAATATCATTGATTCGAAATGCTTTATTCAATATAAACGATAAAGAAGTGCAAGACGATACAAGACTGTCTTCAAAACAACCTGGTCCTGGCCGCAATAAAAGTCCTACAGGATCAGGATCATCCCGCAGGATCCGTAGATCTCTAGGTCCCGTTTTTCTGGGTCTCGGTTCTGTAAAAAGTTCCGCGGGACCGGAACTGGGCCGGTCCCGCAGACCTCTAGCTACGAATAAAAAAAAAAATTTTCGAAAAAGCTTTAGGTTCCTGGGTTCTTGCATACTGAAAACGAATCTAAACTTTTAGGTTCCTACTAACGTTTTAGGTTCGTACTATGTTTTTACGTTCGTACGAACATTTAGATACGAGTAGTGATGGACCGTAAGACGCAAGAAGCGTTAATTTTCTAGTATCTGTTCTTTCGTCTCTCGTGACCTGTACATGTAGAGTATAGGTCACGGATGACGATAAAGTTAAAGGAAAGAGAAAACATAACGTGCGACGTTAAGGAAAATGTTTTTCTTACCGTACGAAACGAAGGAGTTACGTCTATTACGCGAAATTCTTAACGTAAGTGAATCATCCTTAACGAAATAACGTAAGTGAGTCATTCTCAGCCGAGGCATGATAGTACACTAGTATGGACAAGACGATGTATTTTCTTCCTGTTCACTTTATACTATTTCATTTCTTTAGCGTAATCATTTGTCCTATAATCCTTAACGTTAATTTATTTCTTACGTTAAGACTCTCACATTTCGTTTAGACGTTAAGCTGCCATTTTGTTTTTACCGTTTCTTACGTAACATTTTCCTTTTCTTTCCTTTCGTTTAGTTATCAAGTAGGTGAGTTCTAAATTCAAACGTAAGGCACAGAACAGGTCACATTATATTCGAGTATGCGAAATGCCATGCAAGGAATAAACGACTATAGCGATACCGCAATTTTTATTACTTTCCTTCCTTTCGCTATCTATCATCAATACTAACGTCTAACGACGGCCCATCACTAGATACGAGAACCTTTTCTGCTAGTATATTTTATATCTAGGTTCTAAGCGCCTCACACAATTTTGGAGTCGTTACGAATAAGAATTCCTCATCCTATGTCTATCTCTGGTAAAAGTTCTAATAAAAGAGGGGAGCACTCTTAACATCATAATATAAAATGTCATTTAGGACGATGTATGCGATGAGTGCTTACTCAACATCCTGAGATTTTATTTAGTTATTTATACTAGCAGAGCACTGCTAGTTGGAAGCTTAAACTTCGGTTTTTTTCGGAAATTAGACAAGTCCTTGTAAGTTTTCACAACACAAAGCGTAAAACAGAGACAGACAATCGATCATAGTATTATTTGCATCATTCAGTTTGTCTTTCAAAGATGCACCAGTGTATACCGCTATATCCGTTTATCGACACTTTTGATATAAATCTAGTAACTTAGTATGACTAGTTCTTCACATTGCCTAGAACGTAAAAAATACACTCCGCTTACGGCGGGATCGAAGCGTATCTCAAGTCGAAATAAAAAGAACTCTCATTTGATGTAATAGTGACAAGCAAGACTTTCAGGTGTTTTTTTTAAAAAAGTTCATCTGCATTTGGGAATACGTATAGATGTAAAAGCAGACACAAATACCCTCAATGTAACCTAAATTTGTGTTGAATCACGTAACTCTTATTGCAAATCCATGTTTTATTCAAATCCTAATTTCCACTGTAAGTCGTATTATGTAAATCGAAATCAACAATTTTAATCAGTTTTCTTTATTATCAAACTTGTCTGCTCTAAAACAAGGATTAGATCCCATATCATCCTCACATAGACCACCATTTAATCCATGATCTAAATTTTAATTTCGATACTTCGTATTGCACCATTGAGTATAAACTGATTATAAGCACAATCAGTAGTTACATGTTTAAATTACAGTTCATGGTTCAGAGTAGAAGAGCTAATGTACAGAAATATTGGATAAGCGAAACAAAAGAAAAAAACAAGACAAGAACGAAGCAACTCGTCACCAAGCACTTATTCTACGTTTCCGCTTCACAAATCCAAAATAAAACGAGCCGTGATCATCTGTAAACGCAGAGGCGTACATTCAAATTTGTTAACCGTTTAAGCTGGGAATTGCCAGAATATACACGCATTTTATAACGAGTGGGATTTTCATTTTGAATAAAAACATAAAATTCGTTCTTTTCTTTGTTTCTTGGTTTATATCTAGTTCTATATGCACACCGAAGGTGTACTGACAGCGATATTGACAGCTCTGTATCTCAAAACGCAGACTGTAGTCTTTTCTATAAACAGCTCGGCATAGAATAATAGTGAATACATTTATAGGGCAGCAAAAAAAAAAAGCTTATTAGTAAAGGGTTGTTAAAATGTAGAGAGTATTAGAGTAAAATTGTCCCCCAAAACTCAGCAATTTGCAGAATAGTAAGCGCACAGCAGTTTTAGCGAGTAAGAATATGTAGAGAAATTAGCAATAGATTGAAAAACATGATAAAATTAATATTCTAATACCTGTGATAAAACTCGTCAAAGAAAGAGCTTTCTTGATCCTACACCCGGTAATTGCAGTTCAAAATGGACACCATGCTCATCCATCGTTGACTGCGAATGTTTCGCACTAACAAGCAATGTTACAACAGGCATCTGTGCTATTGCTGACCTTGCCTGTGACAGTTTCTTACGGTGCAATTTAGACAATATCACCTGTTCCATTGCCAATACCGTCTGCGTCAACAGTATAAGATGTCAACAACCAGTCTCTGGCAAACATTCAAATCTGTCCAGCTCTGAGAAGTGCCAGTAACTTTTGTGTAACTATATAACAACTTGTATTAGAGAGATCTTTCATTCGTTATCAAATAGCTACGACAATACTGGCTCCCATTATAACAACAACTGCTGTGACTACCACTCAAGCTCCAGTTGCAAGTAAGAAGTTACATTTTCAGACCTCCAAACCGCTTTGTAATCCTTTCCCTCTTCCATAGCAAACCGTACTCTTACGGCAGTTCGGTCAGGTGATTTCTTCAATGCGTCAACATGGGGTGGTTTCTTCCTTCCTGGTAATGGCTGTACAATCATCATTCCCTCCGGAATCATTATCACTCTACAGGGAACAAATCAGCTAACAATTAACGTTGTTACAATTTTTATTCTTGGTTATCTGACAATCATCGGTAGAAGTACTAACTTTGTATTTGTCTATGAAGTCAATATTTACATTTACAATGGTGGTGTGCTACAAGATGCAACAGTTAATCGAAGTGGAATGTCTTTGAATGTTAATTCATCAATTATTTTGTATTCGGGAGGACAGTTTCTTACACAAGGACCAAGTTATATATTCATCTATTATCTACAAGTGTCGGTGATCGTCGATAGTCTACAGTTTGGATCAAGTTTGAGGTTAACAATCTACGGACCATATACGATCGTAGTCACGTACAGTGGACAAGTCTATGATAACGGTGACTGAGATTTTACTTGTTAATTAGCGGAAAATCTAGAGGTTTTCTTCGGTT